TAGGCCCCCTCCCCCCCCTCCAGAGACCCTGAAATCTTGCCTGGGGGAAGGTTGTTACATTTAGGGTCCCCTCCAAGAAATGTAAGTTACATTTTTGAGGTCCCCCCCCTCGAAAGCTCAGTAACAGGGTGGGGATTTTACAAGTAATATCAATTAATGTCTTTACACAATAGAATTGATCCTTAAAGTATCCATGTCAAAGGAACCTGATTGTTGACTTGGGGCAGGCAGAATGAGAAAGTTGTACCATTGATACGCCCTTGCATTACAAATCAGTTCCACAAAGGACACATCTTTAGCGTCTTCAGCGACACGACGTTGATGTTCTCTTCAAAGAAAAAACAAAGTTGGTGTTTTGACACCTCTTGCCCTGTCGCCTTGAAGCCGTGTAAGAATTCGTGGCTTGGTCGAATGATGATAAATGATGATAGATGATAATAAAAGTGTTTTTGACTGTGCAATGTGACTCATTCTGATCCACTACATCCAGGTCCAATGACAAACTTCACTCCACCAGGTCCTACGTCACGATCCGCTACGCTCCGCGCTCCTGCATCAACCTCCATGGAGTCGCTCCCTCGACTGGCAGGAGTGCTGAGACTGTCGACTGGTCTGCCAGGACCAACCTGCTCAAACCCTCAAAGGGAGGGATGGTCACGGATGCTCAAGATATATTGATGCTCAGGAACAGAAAACCTTGGGAGCATTGGGATCGTCATGGATCGTCTTTCTGTCATGTCTTCAACTCAAAATTTGTATTCTTCCTGTCTGCCACTGCTCAACCCATGCCGGCATATCGCAGCTGGGTTCATCAACTTTGGGTGTACCTGAGATCGACATGCAATGTGAGTCGAATCCGATCTTTGACTGCCACCTAAACTGACCTCCGAAAAGGCTTTGGTCCAGCACCCAGCATCTGCAATCGGATCTGGGCCCCTGGCCCAGCGCTTCGAAGAAACCACTTCGCTCACCGAGAAGCAGTGTGTCGATCTCAATCTGCGGAAGGGAGCCAAGCCACTCGGATTTGGCTCTGCAAGAGTTTACAGATGTGCATGGCCGGTATTTTGATGATTTCTTTATATAATATGTATTGGTATTGGGCCCATTTGCAGTGCTTTTTTCATCCAGAGTGCTGGTGAAAGGCCAGCAGCTAGCTGTGCGGACGGCCATTGAGTCCAAGCATGGGTACGACAGAGTCGCGTCACCGTCAGAAGGGCAGCAAAATCATCAATGGCCACTGGCCACTGCAAAGGGCAGAAACCCGAGCTGACACTAGCTCCCAGGATGCAGAAATACTGAACGTGCATGCTGCGAGCTAGTACCAGCTCTGTCTTCAATTTCACATCGTCCACCAAAGTCAAATCGATGGAATTAGAGAGCTGAATGTGAAGTGATCATCAAAATCCAGACTTCTCGGCCAAGGTTTCCAGATGAATCCCGGCACCAAATCTCCCACTCTGATTCATCCTCAGCCCAGGCAGCCAAGGTTTTGCTTCGATGCTTCGACCAACTATTCCTTTGACTGGCAATGCCTCGTTACTGGTAATGCTCCCCACCACCCGAGGAGTCGAAGGCTCCTCATCCACTTGCATCTCGAGGGGGAGCTTGCGACTTGACAGTTGGGGCAGTGAAGAGAGTTGACTTTCCAAAAGGAACATCAGTCTTCTTGTCACTGCCTAAAAAAGAACCTCCCAGTCTGGCAAACAAATAACATCAAAAAACAAAGGATGGTTCGGTGAAAAACTAGCAAATGGCAGACTGCGTTCTGTTGCTAGATGCTTCTTGAAATATAATATGCTCTTCGAGTGGGCCAAAACGGCCGCATCAACTCCAACTGCGACAAGCCACGATAAAACACTTAAAGTTGGTCCAGTGCCTAAGCTTTTTGGTCGCAAATCTACAAATGAGAGGTCTGATGCATCAGGCAGCGCAAGATGTGGAGCCATCAAGGTCACTGCATGGGCCTCATGGTTCCAGCCATTGGGTCTTTATCTTGGACGTGCACTGCTCCGCGCCTTTCTTTGCTGGGTGTTGAAGTCGAGCTTCCCTGCCCGTCTGAAGTTGGATGCGAGGCTTCTGGGAGACCTCTACAACTACACAGGAGAAGTTGAGCCAGCGTAAGTCTTATTTTCTGAAAGGTGAAAGGTGTATGTATCTGTATGTCATTATGATTAACTATGTATGTTGTTATGCACCTTTACAACTCGAGACCCTTGTTGGAGCAGGCAAAGCAATCAAAGCAGGGTATTTTCTTGTTGGAGACCCGTCTGGTTGTTCCACTGATATCAAGTCAAAACATACCTAGTAGGCAAAAACCAAACTATCTACCAAACTATCTTGCATGTGTCTGAGCCTGCAAGTGACTCGATGAAGGAGTCAGCAAAAGTGGGCTCAAATACTTCCAGTCCGATGTCGACCCATGCCCACCTTCGCAGGTCTTTCTCAGCTCGGTCACAAAAGGACGCCAGTGGCTCCTGGACCAAAGTGCCACAGTCGACTGGGGCGAACGGCAGAAGCACAGCGGCTGAGCTCCCGTCCATGAGTTCAGGCCAATGCTTCTTGGCTGCCTGCAAGGACGAAAAAGTGGGCAAAGGCGGCAAAGGCTTGTGGTAAATACATGTAAATACACGGAATAATTCATCAGCTAATGCAACATAATGCAACTGACTTTGCCGCTAGATAGCCTGGCAGCCCAAGAATGCAAAGGATGGTTCATAGCTCTGTCCTTCATCCTCAGGCGCAGAGCGGGATATCAACAAACCTAGCGTTCAGCATCCTACGTTGATACTACGTAGATACTACGTGTCCTGTACAAAGCGAAGAAGGTTCCCCTCATCGATCATCTGCTCGCTACAGCAAATTGAGTCCTTGAAGCGAGCTGGGCGAAAAACACTTCACGGGAGATACAGGATTGATGTGCACCTCTCCTCCAATGCTAAAGCAATATGCCACACATCGGGCGGTCCATACACCAGCTCACCACCCTCCAAACAATTTTGTGCTGAAGCTTACAATTAATGCTCTTCGGCTGCCTCTCCTGTCGTGATCGAGTGTTGCATGTTAGGTCAAAGTGAGGGCCTGCACCACCACTTCCGAACGGGCAAAGTCCACGTTTGCCTCCAAGCGATGGTGGTAGTGGTGTCCCAACTTCGCAACGACGCCGCAATGACGACGCCTTACGACTTACGCTAGATCAGCTTTTCAGGACTGTTTTTAACCTGGCACATGTTCTCTTCTTTCCACACATGTCATTATGCTTCCGAATGTTGAATTTGTCAAGACACTCCACACTGAACCCTGGCTTTGCCCACAGCCTTCTCAAGAAGTGGCAACAGCTTGCCAAACCAATATATTGCCGGCACTTTCTTCAAAAGCCTCACAATAGACAAGGACTAGCAGCAGCATCTTGGGATGGAGTGTGGAAACGAACGAGCTGACAGTTGGATTTTGCAAACTAACTGGTCCCAGGGCACACTCAGCACACGGCTTTTTGACGGATTTAGTTGTTGCTTGGACAAGAGGTCTTGCTTGTGTGAGATTGGCAGCCTCCTGGCCGATCTCTCTGCGCAGAACTGATTGGATCTCTTTCACTGAATAGTTTTTGATACCAGAGTCTCCAGTCCTCTGCTAGGCCATTGGAAACAATCAAGTCCGCCAAGGCAGTCAGCTCCTCCCAATGAATGTGTGGTGCAAAAAGGATTCATTGCTTGATAACTATATATGCCTGTCCGTTGGTCCTCGTATGTCAAAAACATCCATCGCTTCCGACCGTGCACCAGGGCATTCCAGTACGAGGTCGAATCTGGCACACAGCTTCTAGCATTTGAAGCTGCGTTGTCTAGGCAAGCTGCTCTGGTTTCTGGGAACGTCTGGGACACGGATTGGAGACAGCGTTTGGTTACTTAACAAAACCTTCCCAGTGCTTTGTGCAATTTGTAGCAGGCAAGACCAACCACACCACCCTCGAGGCTGCGGAGGTGCCTGGATCCACATGGAGCATGCCACCAGCCCCTGCAGGGCCAGCGATGACGAAGCCTTGCACCGATTCGGCAAAGTTGCCCTCCAGAAGTCCTTCCTGCCGCTGGGAAAGGCAGGCTGGAGCTTCCAACACACATCTACATTCAGAACTTCAAATTTTGTCAAAACTCCATTCCAAGGGAAACCAGTCGAAGGATGCCACTTGATTCACGTCCGATGCAAAAACCCCGTGAAACGACCTAGTAGCGTCCATTGCTCCTGGTAGCGATGCCAGGAGCTCCTAGTAGCTTTTTGATGCTTTTTGTTACTAGTAGTAAGGCAGGAGCCCCTAGTAGCGTCCTGCACCGCTTTATTCTTGGCCTCCGTCCAGGCCTGGCAACATCAACGAGTTTCTCTTCGCGAAAACATGACCGAAGGACATGCCTTTCATTGTTGCACAGCTTCGCACTCCGCATATCGCACAAGGAACCAGGGCTGTCACAGGTGTCCCTTAATTGATAGTTCTAAATCTACAGATTCTCAGGTGTTCATCCAGTTTGCCAGCGCAACCCGATTGCACCTCATTGAGCCGTGGCAAAAAGTTTCCTTGGTCCAGAACTTTATGGTTAACGTCAAGGGGAAACGAAAGTGAAGTTCTGAATTCCTTCCACTATATACATTGCAACCGCGGCACTTCCTAAGAGCTGCTTCGGACCATTGCCTTGTTGCGAGACTGACCTGATGAACTGGTGAACTCCAAGCATTCTCAGACAAGAGAGCATCCACTACACAGGGGCCCAAGGGCAGAGGCCGTTTCGCTGCATGGACAAATTATGACAAAATGAAATAAACCTGCAAGTTGATTAAACGCCCACACCAATGAGCCTGCACGGACGTTACTTAAAAGATCTTAAAAGAATCCAAATCTACAGTTTAATGTTTGGTTCGTAGCAGCACAGAAAAAGCAAACACTGAGTTGCACCGAAGCATTGCGGTAGAAAGGCTGAGATTTGCACCCCAATGGGCAATCTCTAGCAAATGGCTGCTGCAAAATGATATTCTCCAGGAACAGGTTCTCGTTCTGGAGATCGGGTCATAAAAGTACTTCCGCACAAATCAGATATATGACAGGTGAAGAGCCAAAACGATGAGTTATACAAGCGACAGGAAACCTTGGTCTTATCAATTTTGTCTGGAAACAACAAACTAACAAACTGGAATCTGCGAAATGGAAACTCTAAGCAAAGCTCACCAGCGCCTGCCCGTGTTCTGAGAAGTAATGAACCAAGTGCTTGTCAAGCTGGAAACGTCCATATTTTCCTGCAAATTCATGATGATGAAAGTCATTCAAAGCTTAAAAGCGTATCTAAACCGTGTACATTCCTGTCATGGAGCTTATTCGCGAGACAATAGAGGCAGTTGATCATACACTTGATAAACGGTCCTTCCAAAAATATACGGTGATGTATCTGGAGACCGGGAGTTATCAAGCCATTAGGGAAAAAATCGGTAGATGGAGGAGATAACATTTTTTGAATATAGACGCGCCATCCGTTATATTAAGATTGGCAGTTTTTTGGTACCTTCTGGAAACGGTGCCATCTACCAACGTGCTGTCAACATACCCTGAAACAGCAAAAACACACAACGTTGAACACCAAGAAGGGAGAGAGAAGACAAAAGGAAGAGCAGGGCGGGTGAGGTGAGGTGAGGTGAGGTGAGGTGAGGTGAGGTGAGGTGAGG